CCAATAGCACCTTATTTCCATGTGACTAGTTTGGGATGTGAGGATGTGACCGTTTATGGCTTCCCAGTTTATGGCTGCCTCTGCTGCTTAGCCGAAGGCCTTAGCCTAAGAACCAGGCCTCAGACTGTCCCTTACACAGACAGACAGTGATTTTGATTCTTTCTTTTATACCTCTATAACTAGCTTAGTGATAAAAATACACCTAAATTCTTAAAGTATAGGTCTTTGCAGACAGGCCTGAATATCTCTATCCTAACAGAGACAAGCAAGACATTTGACTCCAGTAAGAGTGCAAGAAGTGATTGTGGGTACAAAGCAATCTTGCAGGAGCTTGTGGCATTGGGAATCCACCGGACCGCCCATCAGTGCAGAGAGCGAATCAAGTGGCTTGAAACCGACTACTGCACAGACAGAATGAGTAACCGCACCTCCGGGAATTCCCCTTCTACCTGCCTCTTCTGTGAACAATCTGACCAGGTTCTGGGGGCTTCCGCCAGCCCTGAGCCCACCACGGTGCGTGACAATCGGCTCAGCGGGGACAGCACCTTTATAACCGGAACCGCCAAAGGAAAGCCAGCAGCCACCAGATGAAACTGGGAAAGTGACTCTGGGGAAGCGACATGTTGTTACCCTTATTGTATGAGTAAAGGGGAGCAGAACGGCACTTAGCCGGTCCTGCTGGAGGGGGCCGCCCTCAACTGAAATGAGTTTGCAGAGTAGGGGGCTAGGATGCCAGACCCCTGTGAAAGGTAAGAGGGGGTGGGGACAGGTGCCCCTGCCAGCAGGTGTGGACTCTACGTAAGAGTTCCAGGCACCGTTTAACCTTCCCCTCCCCACTGTTCAAAGGCAGAGCTAATTGAGACTCTATTCGGAGTCTTTTGTTTTGCTAAGTGCTCACTAGAGCTGAAATCACCTGTTGTGGGACAGCCTTTCCTCCCAGCCTGCTTCAGCAAAGAGGTTCCCCCACTAAGAGCTGACAATCGCTGAGAGCTGGGGGGAACCGCAAGAGACGGACCCACAGAGGTCACAGTGGAGAAGCAGGTGGCAACAGGAGGTGACCGCGTGCAGCACAGCGGCTGGTCAGCAGGGCGGGGAAGGCAGAGCAAGTACTCCTCGGATGGCGGAACAAGTAAGGTGCCTCCCTCTTTCCCTCCTCCGGGTGGGAGGGGAACTCACACAGCTGCACCTCTGAACCTGGGTCCTCACTGACCCAGGACACCCACTGTGAGTGGGGTGTGGAGCGGGAGCCGAGAGGGGCACAGAAACGGAACAAGTTGGTTGTAGAACTGAAGAACCGGAGGCGGAAGGCTCTGCCCCACGCACTCTGGGGTGTGCGTCCTGCTCCCAGTTTATGTTTATAAATCCTGCTTGTGGCATTTCCCTAAGTAATGTCGGCTGACTTCCCTCCTTTCATTGAAAGTTTCTTTTCTACACTCAGGCTCTGTGCTTGCGAGAGGGGAAGTGTTGCTTCTCAGAGGCACCCAGGGGTGGTGTGTAAATTTCCCAGGTTACAGGGTGGGAGCTCGAGCTGGTTCTGTGTTGTATTGTTGAAAAGGAGCCCCGAGATATTGAATCCACTTGGCAGAAGGGTTACATTAACTGGCTCTGATCAAGTCAGGGCAGCGAAGGGAAAAAAAGCTGACGCCGAAGAGCGAAGAGGGAACCCCGGAGGAGCTGCCGCCGGCGTGCCGCTCTAACACCGCCCGGGAAGCCACCCTTTCCCGTTTGCCGCCCCAGGCACCTGCTTGCTAGGCTGGTGCCTAGAGCCGGCCCTGCATCAAGTCACCCCTTAACCTTCGTTTTTGTTGAGCAAAATGGACTGAGCTCTTTGAGTCT